TTTTAAAGACTTTCTTAGAGTTCTTTAACAATGTAACCCTTATAAACGAGGTCAATTTGAAAGTAAACATTTTTCGAGCTTTCTCCTTAAGACTAAGAGGCTTTGTCAACAATTCAGTTAAAAGAGCTTGCAAGTCTTTCATAAAAACGTCATTCTTCAAACAATCTTGACGAATGGGTCATTGTGTAACAACATTATTTATTTACAACAGGTCCATTATCCCAACTGGTTTGAGACTTAATTGCAACACGCTAACATGACGGGGTTTTTTTCATTCACAATCATTTTCCAGTAGACTCGGCTAAATTGTATTCTTTAATATTTATTTCTTTTGAAAAAACATTAGAAATGACATGACTGATGAGTAGCTGACCTCTTTTTCTTTGCTTTCGTTTTTATTCCCCTGAATTAAAATCAGTCTAGCTGGAAAAGAACTTGTGGGCGAACATGATACTCAGTCTAAATATAGAAGTAAATTTTCATTCTTATATTGGCCCGCTAGCCTATGCTTTTAAGCAATACACGTTTAGTCATTCTTCGCATTTTGAAGCTGACTTTCAAACCTAGTACAATGAAGGTGGGAAAGGTTTGGTTTTTCTTAGTTGTCGCTGTTTCAGTCGCTACAGTTGTATCCTCAAGACAAGTCGACTCAGGAACCGGTATGAGTAATTATATTTGAGTTACACACTTTTAAACAAAGTAAAACAACTAAGTAGAACTCCGGACAATTCAAGCATTTGTTACGCCACAATCAATTCCATTGGTTACTAATCTCTACGAACTAGTTTTTTTCAGTCTTGAATGTTTATTTAATTGATTTCTAATTGTAAATTTGAGTGGATTCATCCCGACCCACAGCGGCTTAGAGGGGACTTGCAGGGTAGTGTCTGTCACTGAACTAAGAGCTCCTTGACAGGAATACGGGTTTGCATAATTAATAATTTTCTGATCTTTGAATTGAACGATAACTAATCAGAAAATCTTATTAGAAACGAATAGATCTCGCCGAACTCTAACTAAAATGACAGAGGTTTCAAGGGCGATTTGCACCCATTTCTGCGCCGGCGTCGCCGGCATTGCTGGAAGTAGAGCGAAGAGCATTGTTAAATGACATTTTATTCCACCATTTGCAATTTTAAGTTTCATTCTTTCGCTGAACTATTCAATACGTTCTACTGAAACATACGTGCTTTAATCTTGGTTTAAGAAACAGGGTTTTTTTTACTTTTTGTGAAAAAGTAACCGAATTCGTCTCACCGACGCTATATACACGAGATATGGATTTTCTGGTTTGTAGGGCACACTGGAAAGTCTACCTGCAACTGAATCACTTGGGTGGCATTTTAAATTTCTGTTTTCACTTTACCAAAGCAATTCATGAATCCGTAAAAAATTCCTCTGCAAATAAAGTTCATACTAATACTCCCGAAATAAATGGTCATCTTTTGTAGGAGGACAAGAATTGGATCAGAAATTATCTAACCATTCTGATGGCACTCCAGGTAACGAAAGGCCAACACTCGATAGACCGATTAACCGAAGAGAGTTCACTGGAAACTGGGACAATTCTCTAAGTATTTATTAACGGCTAATAGCTTTGTTGTTCCTCTCGACACGATCATTGAGTAGTAAGAATTCACATTATAACAAGTGCAAGGAAGAAGCATTTTTTTTTTTTCTACATTCTCTTTAGGAGTGTGTGTGTGTCCAAAACGTACGATCGATGACAAATACCTTTCAAAGCAGTTTTGAGCTAGTTAAATCTTTGCTCTATCCATCTGTCTTTCAGGAAACAAGGACCAATCATACACTCCGAACAGAATCAGATTGAACTTAAATACTCTTCTTCAAGAAAGATCCCAAGACATTTCCAAGAAGGTTTTGCGACCCCGGTCGTCACGGTCTTTCAGCAAAGTGTTGTTTGAAAATGTTCGATTGAGCGTTCCAATCCGCCAACATGCGTTGCAAACCAATTTTATCCAAGGAATGGCTGTAGGTTCACTTAAACCCACTCAGTATGGACGCTACATGGTACAAGATACTGCCTACCTCGCCAATGCAAACAAAGTGTACTCTGAAGCTGCTCAGAAGATGGAAGAGCAAGGCAAACCTGACTTTGCTTTCTTTTACAGAAGTCAGGCTGCGAAGTACGAAGATTTTTACAAAGAGTTCCTCAAGACCTGGGCTCTTGAAAGTGCCGAGGCGGTGCATGAGGGGCCAGCAGTCCAAGCGTACATGGGTTATCAGCAGGCTGTGGTCAAACAACATCCCAGATATCTACCAGTAGCCATGTTACCATGCACCATGCTCTGGCCGTGGATGGCTGACAGCCTCATCAAAACAGTTGACAAGCAAAACCCGTATTATGAAGACTGGTTTGTGAAGAACCTTCGTGCACCGGGAACACAAAGCTCAACGGAGAGGTTCGTTGACGAAAATTTCAGCGCATTTGATGAGGGCATTGCTCTTGAGATTTTCTGCGAAGGAATGATGAACGAGCTGAATTTCTTTCGAGAAGCATGCGATGAAGCCCCATATAAACTCTCTGATATTTGCCCAAGCGCGGGATAAACTGATATTATAACTAATTGCTGTACCAGTAAAATTAATAGCCCTGAAAAAAGTATATTAAGCTGAAGTTCAGACAAATATCTTTAAAACATGTTTAACATCCTGAAGTGGAAAAAGTGTTAATTCAGTAGTGCAACATCATCCTTTTATTTACCATGTGTTTAAGTGAGCAATCACTCGATGCAAACTGTCAGATCTTCATCAAGATCATGTAAAGCATTAGCTAGGCCGTGTTTTCAATAAATGCCGAGAATTTTAATTCAAAAAAAAAAAAACTGGATCACGCAAACTATTCTCTCAAGCAAATAAACACTGTAGTGTCTATACTCTTTCCCAAATAAAAGTTATTATTCAATTAAACAAAAGCAAGAACGGACAATATTCACTGACATATAGTTATGTAATTTATATTACGTGTGGATATACGTTAACTGAAATTGATTGTCTACCTCTTGCTTGTTGTCCTCCCCCGGGGGTGGGGGGGGGGGAAAATTACTCCCTTACATTTATATGAGCTACATAGGTATGTGCGGCCCCAAAGCGTTTATGGTTTGTTAGCCGTTTTGGTCACAAAAAGGGTATCGATTTTGGCCATTTTGCCCTCAAATAGGGAATGGTTTTTGCACTCTTTTCTTGTTTGTTTTTTTGTTTTTTTGTTTTTAGAAGAAGCTTCTTTTTCATCATTATCGACAAGACCATATGCAAAAGTCCTTCACAATGCCTTTAACATCGGTCTGAACTAGGTAACTAATTATGAAACGCGACTGATTCAAAAATTACACGAGGTATACTTACAAAGTCTGTACAGTCTGCAGTCTGCATTTTACCCTCAGTCTGTATTTTACCCCCGGTCTGCAGTTTTACACTGACCGCTTTCATACATTATTTTAGTACAAATGTTTACTATTACTTGACCTCAATTTTCTACCAACGCCGTTTATACGACCTCTCCGTTTATGTTCAGAGCCTTTCTTCAACTTCCCGAGAACAATGATTAATATTTATAAAAAGATGAATCGCTGAACTTCCGAGATTTCTCTGACACTCTGCATGAAGAGGAGAGGGACTGAAAAAGAGTTATGCACAGAAAATCTTAACGTGAATTTCTAAGATAACTTACTCCAAATTATAATTACTGGTCAATACCAACCGGTCCGTAAATGCAACGCGCGACTCTCATATTTTGATCCATTAAATATCTAACGAGACAGTATATCTGTGATGCACGGAGTTTTCTTAACAGGCGGTCGCATGCACGAAGAAACGAATAGACCTCTTTAGCTTCGCGGTCACGTGAACTAAATTGGGTAAACACAACATCATATTCTAGAGATGGAAAATTGAAGATCAAGCCTTAGTTCTCGTTTGGACCGACCTTTTGCTCTTGAGGGCGCGTCTTGCTGATAATCGCAAGAGGTCTTAAATAAAACATGCACTTTCCATACCAATAATGGATTTGACATGACCCACATGAGTAGATTTTTTTCATCTCTAATACTTGATTTCTGGCGGGACTGATGCCTAATTGCGCATATAAAATAAGCAAAGTGGCTCTTCGTGTCTTTTTTGTAGAATGAAGGGAAAAAAGAGCATTTTTAAAAATTTAACTCTGCCAAGCAGCAGGAGATGTCGTTGAAGATTGTGCCACTGGTAAAACACCAGTTTCAAAAGATTGTGGGCACCCAGACGTGCCATTCTTGCAGTGCGTTTGAGTAAAAATGACCTGTTTCTCCAAAGGACTCTTATTTCTCTGGAAAGGATCCTGTGATGCTGGGCGTTTATTGCTAGAGAAGCTGAATACATCAAAACTAGAGTTTCACTGAAAAAGCAGGTAACTGCGACCTTCCAATTTCCTATTCCCATCTTTGGTTATTTCAATATATATAATTATATATAGGCAAGAGAAAATATTTTCTCTTGATATAGGCGTGTACAAAAATTGTGATTCATTTAAGAGGTGTTAGGGTAAATTATTTGTTGTTCAAATCAGAGTATTTTGTTTCTGGGAAAGAGAAATCCAAGTTTAGTCGCAGCCAAATAAAGTAGCTAGATGAAAAGAGGGAGAAATATTTTGTACCCAACTGTGAAGATGAATTGCTCAGTTTTCTCTGAAAAAGTATTGACAATGGAATCTTAAAATCTGACTCTTAACATGCGAAAAGAGGAAGCTGGGAAATTTGTACCCATTTCCATTTCTGTTTAAACTATCTTACTACTTCAATGCATCGTCACTTATAATAGAACTTTTAAGCCGGAAGAACGCTTTTTAAGACAGAATATGTTACCGTTGTAAAATTAGTACTTCTCCGTTCAGTGTAATAAGATGCTCTATAATGTCGGTAGCTTTATTTATTCTATATGTGAAAGCAATGTCACTTTTGGATCTGTAGAATTTTAAACCAAGTACAAGAATGGCAAGAAAATTTTGGCTTTTCGTTGTTGTCGCCATTACACTGGCAGTGGCTGTATCCTCGAAACAAGTCTCTGGAACCGGTAAGTGTCATTTCATGCACGGAAAGAGCATTCATAATAAATACCTTCAGAAACGTTAGAAAGGCAAATAAAATAATGAAAATATGATGGCGAGAAAGTTTCAGTGACAATTTGAGTGTCTTTCTGAAACACCTTACAGTCTTTCAATTGACGTTAAAGACAATTTTTTAAAATCTATTTTTAAAGCGAAACTTAATACCTTTTTATACGATTTTCATTAAGTTTAATGAATTTTAAACCTCGATATGTTTTGTAGTTATCTATTTTGATAATTAAGCTGTTTTAAATTTTGTTAATTGAATAATGTTTCTTTCTTTTTTTGTTTTTGAGGGCCCCACTGAAAACCGGCGAGTTGGATTCCCTCATTAAAAATCATTATTCAAAATATATGTAAAAAATGTATGTGAATCATGATGGGTCAGTTCTCCATATTAATTTCTGCCTTTTGCTCTACAAGGCTCCCGAGGTTTATGGCCAGCCTTTGTAGGAAACAGTTTTCTCGGAGGTCACGAAATCGAACAGAGATTGCCTAACCATTCTGTTGGCACTCCGGTGTACAAAGTCAGTCCCAAACAGCCAGCACTCAATGGACAAGACAACTTAACCTGGTAAAGTAAAAAGCCTGTAGCATGCCACTGGTATGCACGTAACTTGAAAGCTAGGTTTAAAACGACAATCATGTTTAATTTTCAGTTCGAGAACACCGCATTATAATAGCTACAGTTACGATCAGTTTGGAATAGTTTTTACTATTGCTTTTATCCAGGTATACGACTCTCACGTAAATCTGCCTTTGTGGTTTGTCTCCAAACCAATCAGTTCAGTTTGTGAGTTATAAAAGAAAACAGTAACAAAGTTTTGTAAATCAATTTATACTGGCTGAATTTTAACTTTCAGACAATGAGTGGTATTCCAAGACTCCTAGCAAAATCAGATTGCACTCTTACAACTTCCTTCAAGAACGGCATCAAGACAGCGTCGTCAAAAAGGTTTTGCAAATTAAAAAGCCCTTCAGCAAAATATTGTTTGATCATGTACTCAGCTTACCGATACGCGAGGAAGTGATTAAAACCATGTTTGTACGGGGAATTGCTCACGGAACACTGCGATCGAGTTACTATCTTGACTACACGATCCAAGATATTGCCTACCTCGCTAATGCAGCCAGAGCTTACGACGACGCTGCCCAGATGATGCAAGAACAAGGAAATAATGATTTTGCATTATTTTACCGGAAACAGGCTCAGAAGTTCGACGTATACAACAAAGATGCGCTCTCGAACTTGCGACTTAAAAATGCTGACAATGTGAAAACTGGTACGGCAATCGAGATGTACATGGGTTATCACAAGGCTTTGGTCAAAACCAATCCAAGATTCCTTCCAATAGTCATGTTGCCTTGCTCCATGCTTTATCCTTGGGTTGTTCGTCAGTTCATTGGTACAATTAACAAGCAAAGCCCGTACTATGAAGACTGGTTTGTGAAGAACAGTCTTGAAGAGGATAACCCAAGTTCAACGGAGCTATTTGTCGACACCAAATTCACTCGATAGGATGTGGAATTGTCGGTTGGTATTTTCTGCGAGGGAATGATGAACGAGGTCAATTTCTCTCACGAAGCGGGTGGTGAGAAACTGTTAACTTTTGAAGAAGTTTGCAGAAATCACATCTAGGATAAATAAGCTGGGAACTCGGTAAGTTAACCGACTAAGCAGATTTCCTTGCATTGATACCCTCATGTAGAACATACTTAAAGTATCGATGGTGGCTTTACTGGGATCAAATTAAAGATTACAATGATGTTAAGTTCAAGCATTTGTTTTCTTTTTGTTTCTTTCACACTACCTCATTACACGAGGATTCACAAAAAGGGATTAAAATTCAGCAGCCTGAGATTGCCGCTTTAAAGGTACTGTTCGCTACGAAGCGATTCAAGGAAAAATGAAAGAGGACTTGCGAGGGGTGTAGGCAAGTGACCTACTCCCTACTATCAACTAAAAGTTGACTGGGTAAAAAGACACCCTATCGCAAATAGCGGAGTATTGTGGACAGGAGTAGAACTTCATCCCACAATATTGTTGTAAATTTATTCTTTTTGATGGGGAGCGCATTCTTTTACAGTGATAATAAATGTCTCACTGAATCCCATATTTTAGATAGTGGGAAGAAAAAGAAGGGTAACTGAAATTTTGACGAAAATTTCAAGGAAAAGTCTTAAATTTTGGCTGCATGTAACTTTCTTGTTGGGCGGCTATTGCAATGATTGGATAGAATACAATACAGCTGAGACCATTGAACTGTGTTTCTTAAAGCAGAAACCGATATGAATGTACCCAAACTACAACAGCGTTCATTTTGTTGTCATTATTTGTCTGATAGTTACGGTAAGTATAAAGAAATCATTGCAACAGCGGGAAAACGCTGAGGTCGCCAGCTGTGAGAATTCGGCGCCCCGAGAAGCAAGAACTGAAAATTTGCGTAGTTTATTCGGTTCTGGCAAGAGATTATCAGGGTAAGAGAGTGAATCCCGCATATAGGTCTCCTAAGTAAGGAAATCCCTCTTAAGTTATTTTTAGACATGGTACCCAGTTCCTCCGAGGATGCTACTCGCGCGATGCGTGGACAGCCGAAGCGACTTTCTCGAAACTACCTGAGACGAAATGGCGGGAACGCCATTTTATGTTTTGATTTCGTTTCATAGTAGTAATGTTTTCTGCATTCTCGGCCGTCTTTTTATTCGGCCGGGCTTTCGTTTGTTTTGTGCTCGTTGGGCTGTTCAGTATTTTGTCGTTTATTCTGTTTTACGGAGTTTAATTATGCGAACTTTAACGGCAACGGCAACGAGTACAATGGTTGTGTAAGCGTGAGTTATGAATCTTTGTTCATTTCTTTGCCTTTGTTTACAAAAGGTCACGCAACAACAACGTGAAATAGCCACATTCTGCATATTCGAGAGAACGTGAACTATACGACGGACAGTTTTTAAACTTTCTTTTTCGAATTTTGACGTTGTCTTACATATTCTGTTTGGGATATTTCTGACAGCATAGACAAACTGAATGAATCTAAATTCTCGCGAGATTGTTGGGTTGAATATTAAGTCGATTTTTAATCATGTTGTCTTTGGCGTTGTTGCAGTTGCTGCTTAAGGTGGCTCAAAACAGTTTCCAGCACTTATATCTGGATGTGTCGTTATAACCACTCTTTATCACTTGATGCTACAATCAAGGTATCAAAAAACTGCCCAAGCATTGGTGAAGACGTTGTCATCATTTTCATGACACAACAGGTCACCATAGCAACAGTGTGACCTCCTAAAAACACCCTTAATTACAGCTTTACGTGCTTATAATTCAAAAACTGCACGGTGAATTTTTTTATATTATCAACTTTTCATAAGCATGATAAAACGCAACTTTTGGCAAAGTTTAAAAAAATTCTGTACATGGGGTTCAGAGCCATCTTAAATTTTCGAAAATTTAAGGTGGCTCTGAGCCCCATGTACAGAATCTTTTTAAACTTTGCCAAAAGTTGTGTCTTATCACGCCTATCAAAAGTTGATAATTAAAGAAAATTTCACCGTGCCGGTTTTGAATTATAAGCCCCTAAAGCTGTAATTAAGGGTGTTTTTAGGAGGTCATAATGTTGCTATGGTAACCTATTGTGTCACGAAAATAGTACCAACGTGTTCACCAATGATTAGGCAGTTTTTTGATACCATGATTGTAGCATCAAGTGATAAAGAGTGGTTATAACGACCCATCCAAATCTAAGTG